AAGGCAACACACTTATGAAATGGCCCTGAAATTGCATGTCTCTCATGAAACAATATGTAAATGTTTAAGGAATATGGGAAAACTCCACAAAGATGTTTGGGTGCCTCATGAACTCTCCGATGATCATCGTTTCCAACATGTGAATGTTGCTTTGTCTCTTCTGGCACATGATCCATTTTTGGACAGAACTGTCACCGGTGATGAAAAATGGATTCTCTATGCGAATAATAAACACCAAAAACAATGGCTCAGTCCTAGACAAAAACCAAGCTTGACCAACAAAGAGGTAGAAAAGTGCAGTTGAGGTAGTCAAACCTTGGTAAATTCCTTTGTGAGAGAATCAAAATTACGATAATTCATGAAATGAATTTGTGTCATATTCATAGAATGATATTGATAAAAATCAGTTAGATTAACAATTTCTAATATATAGAAAAGCCAGTGAGTTTTGGTAACACTTCTTTCCAACAATGGCTTTTATGTCATGTTGCTTAGCAACAAAAGTATAACCTAATATTGTTGTTCATCTATGTACTGAAAGTATAAAATGAAATATATAGACAAAAAAACTGGAAAAATGTTTGTTGATTTCTTAATTTAGAGTCTCTGTTGATTAAAGAGGTTTGTTTTTTTATTAAAAACGTTGGTGATATAACAGAAAATAGCTTAATTCGGAAACGATTTATGTTTAAAAGTGAACCAATATTTTTACTTTCATGATAAATTTTATGCACTTGGCTCTAGGCTAGGTGATAAGTGTAGTGAGTGTTGGTATAATAAGCCTAAAGTAAAGACATAGTGTGGAAAAGGTTTCATGTCACACACACACACTTTACTAAAATTGCAGACAGTAATTGAACTATTTTATTTGGATAAATCAAGCGTGATGTGATACACACTGGCTTTTATGTAGGTTAGATGTGCATTACACTAAGAATGAGCCATTTTGCACACATGTAAAAACAAAAAGTGTTTTGGATGAAACTGATAACCTAGGCCTGTGAATTTCAACTTCATAAAAGTTGTTTTGGTTGTAATAACAGATTTTCCACAATAAAGCTACGCAGATTTCAAAAATAATATTCATTTTTTACAAATCGGGAAGAAAAAAAAACTTTTTTTTTTTTTTACTTCGATCAAATTATTTCATTTACCACAATGAACATATTTTATTATTATGTTTGTTAACAAAAATACAAACTGAAAAAAAAGGGAAGAACATTGATGCCAAATGGATATGCATCCTCATTCATCCTGATTTCTTGTGAAATCTATGTCTTTTAGCCTCAAAACTGCATGTTGTGGTCTTTCTTTTATGTATTGTGTCTGGAACACCTCGTTTCAATGACCAGCAGTAATCAGCCATCATAGACTGCAGCTCCTAGCATTGGTATTAATTTGGCAATATTGTTACAATAAACCAGTGAAAGTTCTTGTGAAAAGTATGGTATAAACTCTTTCTCATGATTTCTGTACCAGTAAAATAATGTCCCTGGAGAAAGTAAGTTCTTAGTCCAAAGTCTGGACCCCAAAATCTCTGAAGAATCCTTTGGAAGGCCCAAATCTCTCACCAAAACATTAAATTCACCCTGTGTGAAAAGTTGTGGTTCACCAAACTTTACGGTTGAAAACAATCCCTATCATCATTTCTATAGATGAAACTGTATCAAGAGTCTCTGGTGGGGTAGGTACATCAGGTCCATGAGCAACAGGTCTTATAGCAGATTGAAGGTTTATATAAGAACTTTCCTTTTTATTTCGATTGTTTTAGCCTTGCATGTTATGTGAGCAAAAATATCAGTCATCTTCATTGTTTGTAGGCTTGTGCCTGACTACTGGAATTCCAAAAGGAAACAACTTTATCTTACCTTTAGTCCATTGTCTCAATTCTTTGACACAAACAAATTCTGTAATGTTTCGTCTTTGTTTCTTTATCATAAATATAACAGAATGTGTCATTTACACAACCTCTTGTTGCTATAGCAACAAATCAATAATATTCAAAAGGAAAAAAGAAAAATGTCAAAGTGCAAGCACCAACAAATACTATCCAGAAATGACATGTCATGCAGCCTGTTAACTGTTTATATACTAGTGGAGTATTTCTTGTGGAATCTAGAACAATCGATAAGACTCTCATGTTGCTAGTGGTCTAAAGAAACCTATAGCTAGTGGTTGTCAACATTTTAAGCATAAGAAAATGTGACCTGATTTCAATGAAAATGATTCACTCATGTAAAAGTACATATGATGTTTTGTAAAAAATTTGTACATAATGGAGAAAAATGGATATCATTTTTGGTTTCAGCATACAGGAAGTACTGAAGAATATGTAAAAATTTCAATACAATAAAACCATCACAGCCTTATGTAATGGTTAAAATGTTTTCATGAATACACATTATTCTTTATTATATTCAGTTTTTCATCTGCTCACTGAGTTACAGTATGTAATATTTTTTTCATGTGTAATTAATTTTTTTATGGGCATCACAAAATATGAGTGCATTTCTAAAGAAAACAACAGATTTTAGACACTAGTTTATTAGATCAAGGCTTTAATGGTCTACAGCCAATGGTGGTGCTCAAGGGAGCTTCAGAACTTATGAATTATCACAGAAGCAAAGCACAACAGCAAGGCAAACCACATTAACAATGTTTCTCTCACCAAAACTTAAGATAAAACTTGCTTCTTTATTTTTCACTCTCATTGACTACAAAGTAAACAACCATAGTTAACATATACTTTGTACGTACATTTATTACACTCAACAGATCACACCTTGCAAAGCAAATCTTAAATTGTTTTCTGTTTCTATCTAAAGTTTACACTTGCTGTTTCTACATACAAATTAGTTTTTAGCCCTCTTACGTATAGCTAGCTATACAAAATAACTATGTTTTAACATCCATTTCAGAACTCGGTGCTTAAGTGCTTTAAAATGTTTTCTTTACAGTTTTAGGAAAGCAAGTTCTAAGTACATGCGACTAGATTAAATGTATTCTATTTTATAACTTTATTAAAAGTGCTAATATAAGTTATAAAACTACAAGTTTCCCTTATATTTTCAGAGTATCTTTTTTATAAGATGATAATTTACAAGACAGCATAACCTACATTTCTGGTTTAAAAGAACATTATCCGACATCATAAAACTAGGAATTTGTTATAATACAGGGTTGGGCAAAAGAGACCATACAGTTGTTTCATTTGGAATATGGTTTGCTTTCTGCCTATTATTCTGAAACAAAAAATAAGAAAATTGGTTTCAGTTGTGTTCATAGTATTTTCTCTAGTACCAACTTTATAGTAACTTTTGCTCCATCCTGTACACAGTTACACAAAAACACAAGATCTGGATCAGATATGAAGCTCAGTTATAACCAACAACTTTTTCATTTAAAATTGAAAAATATACAAAATTTTATAATGTATTGTGTGCAATTGTCAAAAATTTCTGTCACAATTTCCCTTATTTTAACTTTAAAGTTTTATAGATCTTTTCTGTTTTTATACTCCAAGAATGTAAAAACATAGCTATGATCCAAGTACAATAAATAGAAATGTGAATTTTTAAAGAAACCTACAAGAGAACATAAAACACATCCCAAGATAATAATATTACTGCATTTACTTTGTGTTTAACTGAATACTTTACCATTCCATTTATTCATTATTCCATTTAAACAAGATAAACAGGTTTAAAAATTTTTCAAAACTTAATATTTCACTGATTAATCTCATGCTATTTTTGAAAAAGATATCATAATGGGTAAAATTTGACATATCTAAGATTTAATGTTTTTTTCAATATATATAACGTGCTGATCTTTTTAACATTACTCAAGTAAAAAAAACATGAAAATTCAAATATACTTTCAAAATTCATTTTTCATTGTACTGCATAAAACCATTTGAATGCAAGTGCATTAATTTTCTTCTTTTACGTTACACTAATTGAAAAAATAAACATCAGATTTCTCCTTTACTTAAAAACTTAAAGAATGCAATAAAATAAACACGAGAAAACTTAGAGCAAAATATTTTAAACTGCACCATCAACCGTTTATTTACTTTAAAGAAATAAAAGAAAATTCAATTCCTTAATTCTATTGCCCATTTTTTTACTCACACACTGACAAATTACAGAAAACCCTAACTAAATTTTCCTGTCTTAAATGGATCAAATTGTGCATGAATTCTGTTTTAATTTGAAGCAATGTTACTATAAAAAAAATTTAAATTGTATTTTTGAACTTATAAATTGTAAACACCAAATTAGTGGATATCTTCATGTAAGTTTCCAACTGTAAATAGAATTAAACAATATGCTAAAGTTTATAACATCCATACCAAAAATACATGCCTTGATAAGCACTTTAACTGAAGAAAAGATTTTTTTGGTTAATAAGATACCAGAAATAACTGAAGTAACACCAACAAAACTCTGGGTTATGAAATTAAAAACTTAAACATTATTGGCAACCACCCTAATAATCTGTATGACCCATTAATATTATTTACTAATACTTATGATACTAAAAAATGTGCACAATTCACAAAATAATTTGGGTAAACAGGTTAATTATCTATTAATGTAATATTCCACAAGGCTATGAAAATCTGGGTTAACTCCTGAAAAATCTACTACAATTTATATTAAAACACATGTTTAACAAATGGATAACTAGTTATCTTTATCTGATAACTGACTATTATAACTGTTATGAAAGAAAACTGAAGCACCACAGTTAGGCATGCTCGTACATGACAGTAGTTACACGTAAATAGAAACTGTGAAGTTGGCTTTTTAAAATAAAGTTCCAATCTAATAACTTTGCTATTTATTATACGATTTATACATTTAAGTTTTTCAAAGTTGATATAATTAGTGCAGATGTACACCAGATGGTCTTTAAAAATATCAGATTATAGTACATCGGATTAAAAAAATACTTTCTAAAAAAATTACAAAAGTATTATATTATTTTACTTAACAGAAGGTTATATGTATAAGCTTCTTTTAGGCAAACAAATTTTTCAACTGAAACTGAATTTTAATTATATTGAGCGTATATATATGTGCACTGAGCTTTTGTTTCGACTGGTTATCAATTTTTTTGTGTTTATCCTGAAGAGAAAGTTTACACTTGACTTAATTAAAAAATAAAAATGATATTAACAAAAATTTATACTATACTCTACATCATCTCTGAGAATATTGAAAAATGTCGATGTGATAATATCCATCTATAGCTGAAACATTTTTTGGTTCAGAAACATAACACTTCTAAAACTTTATGACAGAATCTGTCAGATGGATAGAATTGCAAAACTTTCTTTGCCTACTGAATGCTGAAAAATTTTTAATAATAAGAAATGATGCTTATAAAATGGATCCATTTTCTAGAATAATACTTTCAATTTAGAGGATTCACCCTAAAAAGTGAGATCACATTATATAAAAAAAATTAATATTAAGAATTCAATTTCACTCACTGATAACTCTAAAGATCTATGTTTTAGGAAATGTGAAAAGTTATTCAATCACAAGTAGAATGACAGGTACCTTTCCACTAAGTTCACACACACTTCTTGAAATGGGAAAAGTCAACAGACAATCTTCACACCAGTAGGAGCTCATACTAACCATACTTCAAGGAGTACTTTTTTTTACATCCATACAGAAACTCTGAAAAACTAAAGTAAAATTTGAGCAAATTTGATAAATCAATTTTAATTACATATGAAGTGAAAAGTTCATTAATACTTTATTTCTTCATAAGTGCACTGTATCATTCACTAATATTACAACTACCGTAACACATAATTTATGACAAAGATAATTTTTATATCTTTAATAACCTTATGCAAATACAAGTAGCTTAAGAAATAGGTGCCTTATTTGTGAAATATCTTAAGATGATCCAATGGCCTTTTTCAGTTAAGTGTTGGAGAATAGAAAGTACTAATGAAGCTTGCACATAGTCCAATCTATTCATTAGGCTTACACCCACACCTTTAACATTCCAGTTTTGTGCTCTAGAGAAAGTGTTCATGTTCTACTTTTCACCCTAATGTGACTTTGTTCTAGTAAAATCAGCTTTAACATTTAATTATTTAATATGTTAGATAAGTAAACATTTCATTAACTCTATACATTTCTAATACTTCTGTGAATAATTTTTCAGTGACACTTTAAACACCATAATGATAGTGTACAAATATTATCAATAATTTAGGTGACAAATTGGGTTGGGTAAAAATGTGTGATTGGAGGCAAAATTAGGTTTTAAATTTCTTAAAATTAGCTTAATATCTCTACTATAGGCTATTTACAGATGTTAACACTAACTTCAAGCTGTCTTTGAGAAACTAGAACAATGCATCATGAGACCCCCTAACAAATAATTTAACTTTACTGCTTCGGAAAATTTACAATCAAATAAAGTAAAAATATTTATACAATCTTTTTGAATTAATTAGGGCTCGTGTGGACGAGCAACATGATGTGTATTTAGTAAAGCATTATATTAAAATCAAGATAAAAAAAATATGTTTATATGCCAATTTATACACTATTTTTGAATCAGTTAGGTCACTTTTTCATAAAAGAATCATTTTTCTAAAACACCTCATATACATATTGTACAATTAACCAAATGAGCATTTTATTCAGGTTTGTTAAGAGAACAAAATATGCTGCTCTATGAGGTATTTTTGAAGAATGTGTTATGTTTTAGTAAATACAGTATCAAGAGTGGAAACATACAGAAAAAAAGGAATATTAAAAGCTGTCAATGTGCGAAAATCCTGAAGTCATAAATGTGTGATGTCTGATGTTTTAACCCATTTCCTAGGAATCAGAACACTACTGAAGACTGGTGCACATCTCATAAAAATTAATCTAAAGCTCTTAGTTTAGTCTGATATATTTATATATTTTCTACACACTACTAAATACAAATATCCACTGATACACTAATTTTAATACTTGAAGGTCCTGTCAAATACAATGCACTGACAAAATGAAAGGCTTTCATCTACAGAATGATGAAGTACACTTAATACTAAATAGTATACTTGTGTATAAAGCTAAAGTGTATTTAATCTAAAACATTCTTTCAAGACAACAAACAGTAATATACATCCAACATGAGCTTACAAGGTTAGGTACAATCAGGTCTGGTGTGTACGAGCAACATGATGTGTACTTAAAAATATAAAGCATAAGCTAAGAGATGTGATACATTAAAATCACGATAAAAATATGTTTATATGCATATTAGTACATCATTATGTATAGAGTAGAGGAAGTGTATTTTAATAACACCTACATACCAATTACTATACAAATTTATATGAAGTACATAATACAATCTATTATAAAATAATTTACTGTAGAGTAAATCTGTATAAGAAGTATACAGAACAATGTTTAAAATTGCTGTGTACTTGTGACACAGATATTGTACACAAAGCAGCGTACTTGCATGGGTTCTGAACAAAATACAATAGTTAAGAATATTTGTTTTCAAACAAGGAGTTAAAAAGCATACCATTCTTTACAACCAAAGTGCAACTAATTTTTAGAAGCAGTTAACCATGATCCTTTGTCTCTACTTCTTTAGGTGTTTAATAAAAACAGTATACTATAAATGAGGAATGCTTTCGTTACATGAAGTTAACCAATTACCATTCGCTAACTAGGAGAAACTGGTACCTGTGATATATTACTTGTAAAATGTGAAACTTTATGAAAATAAGCATTTCATTCTGTATAGTAAAGCACAGCAATAAGAAATAAAGATATTAAAACGAATAGAAAATAATATGAATAATAAGAAAAATTGGTCCTATTAGAATCAGCCAAAATTAGCCAATGGAAAGAAATGCAATTATGTAATCATTTAGACTAATTAAACAAAAGTAAAATTACTTTCACTAAGCTAAACACATCACAAACATGTATACTTGTATATGATTTAAAACACATGCCATTAATGGAATCTATAGCATATAAATTGAAAAACAAGGTAACTCACTACATGAAATTCACTGAAGAACTACTCTTCATGCTTTTTTTTTGCTTCTAAGTTATCACATGTAAATAAGCTCTTTCCCTACAGAACTTACATCATTAATTTTCAACAATTTGGATCAATGTTTTCTTGTGTGTACAATTTTGTAGCCCACATATCTCTCCTAAATCTAATCACATAAGTATCTGTATTATCTTTGTGCTAACAGTTCTATTTCATTTCCTGGTGTTTGATCTTAAAGAAAGATGGTGTATACACTTCACCTGCATTTTCAGCATTACTCTTCTTCATCTAGTCATAGCTCTGTTCGTTCTGACTTTTTGGATTCTTCTTTTCTGTTTTCATATTCCACGTTTTCAAGTGTAATCTTCTGATTATCATCTTCATTTTGTGGTAAGACTTGAAGATGCTCAACAACTGTGTAGTCATCAAGACCATCTCCATTTGCATCTTTGTCAAACGAGACCTGGTGTTTTGAAAATTTTCTTGCCCATTTCATCTTCATCTCTGCCCACCGTTCCTCTTGTCTTTCCATGATTTTAAAGACTTTTGCAGTTAACTTGTCAATCTGAGCCTCTAAGGGCTTCTGGTTCTTATAGAACCTTGCTGCAGCATCTTGCACTTTCTGAACAGCATTATGTAAGGCTTGTGACATTTTGAAGATTAATTTCTGAGAATTGCTGTTGAACTGTTGATATTGCTTTGACTCTGTGATCTTCTGTAGCTCTGTCCACTTTTCTGTTAGTCTCTGTTGAAAGTCTTCAAGTACTCCTTCAGTTATGTTTAGTTGTGCATTAATAACGTTAGTGTCTGCTACACTGTGTTTTGATATATGGTCAAGAACTGAAGTTATGATGCCTGTAACAGTCTTGGTGCCATTAGAAAAACCGGTGATAACTGCTTCAGTCCAATTTACATGTGGTAGAAGCCAAGGAAGAGATGTGCCATTCCACAAGGCATTGGTCTTTTGTAATTCTGTTTTAATTTCTTCATAAAGTTTTTTCCATCGCCTAGACTCCTGTTCTGCATCAGCCAACATCTGAAGTAAAGACTTTATTGTGTCAACAGGTGCATCTTCAGCTTTTTGATCTGTATCATCATCTTGGTTACTGAGGGGCACATCGAGTGGAGGATGCTCTCTGGTAGGAGGTTTTGTGTATCGGAGTCTTCCAATCTCATCTTTTAAGTCTTGGTTCTCATGCTGCAGTTCATTCAGTTGCTGTTGTTGTTCTTCTTCTGTTTTGAAAGGCAAAGTGTACTTTAACTGAACAATGCTTGCTTTAAGATATCTGTTTTCTATAACCAGAGTATTAATCTGTTTCCTTAAAGTTTCTAACTTTAATTTACTTTCTGCTTTGTCTGTATCTATATTTTGAGTCAGGTCATCTAAATCACTTGAAGCAGTCGATTGCAGAAGCTGGGATTGAAGTTGTTCCAAGGTTTTCTTCAGTTCTAGATTTTCGAATTGTATATTACGAGCCTCCCCTTTCAAGCTAGTAAGACTATCTTTCTCATCATCATCATCATCTAAAGAAAGCTGAGACTTAAGTAATCTGTTTTCTTTCATAAGAATTTCCATTTTTTCCTCTAGCTCCACTAAAATCTTGTCATCTTCTTCTTCTTCTATCAACTTAGCCTTTAACTCAACATTTTCCTCACTGAGTTTATCAACTCTTTGCAAAAGAGCCTTATCTTCTTCTTCTTCTTCCACCAGCTTGGCTTTTAGTTCCACATTCTCTTTATTGAGTTTATTAACTCTCTGCTCCAGCATCTTATCGTCTTCTTCTTCTTCCACTAGCTTAGCTTTGAGCTCTACATTTTCTTCACTTAGTTTGCTAACTGTTTGCTCCAGTACCTTATCATCTTCTTCTTCCTCTTCCAATTTTGCTTTTAGCTCTGTATTTTCACTCTCTAAAACTTTGAGGCGTTTGCGGGATTCCTTCTCTTGATGTTTCACTTCCTCATAAGTTTTAAGAAACTGAAATAATAAATATTACAGCAAGATGTTAAGATAGTTTTTTTATACTTTATTAAACATTAGTAAACGAACAAATGCACTATGAATACCATAAACACTAAATTCTTCAATTAATTTATACACCATTCTTAACATACTCAATAAAATTTGGCTCCAAGATGTAGTTATGTTATCTAAGTTTTAATTTCTTAATTTCAAAAGGAAGTATAGAAAAATTCTTAGTCTTCACTCTTCTGTCTCATGTGATTATTTACATCATATCTTTTGATGGGCATTTTTTATAACCAACAGGAAGATCATATTATAATGTACAGGAATCTTTAGATAATTTGTTTATATTTAGAAGTAGTCAAGAAGAAAAATTCTATATTCTTTCTGTAAAGTCATTTTCTCATAGCAGTTATGGAATTTTTTAAACACATTTATATCTTAGTTAGAAAGACAGGTAAATTATAGTAGTTTTGGGACATTCTATTCTAGTGCCTGATATATTTTTTGTGTTCTAAAATGCATACTTGAAAGTACTTGAATGTTTATTAGCAAACCCAACTACCTGAAAAATGTAAGACCTAACAGCAAATGCAAAAATCACCCAATTGTATTTACTTTGTTTGCAGTCTTTACAATAGATAACTAATGGAATTTCACTGTTCTTGACGAAAGACAGTGGTCCAAAGTATAGGCAGTGAAACCATAAAAATTAAAAGTAAACAGCTGTGAAAAGGTTAATAGTTGAAACTGTGAATATAAGAAAACTGAAACGAGGAATTCAAAGAAGAAAAAAAGATTTTGTTCATTTTACTTCATATTTCTGAACTTTTAACTTTACTACATGTTGATGGTTTTGCTGTAGTTAGTATTAGGGTAGATAAAATATAAAGTTTCACTGAAACAACCATCTTGATGTTCATTTAGAAGGTTCTAGAGGTTATGCAAATTCAATATGAAACTATAAGATAAACATAATTATTCTTGTTCTTAACATGAAAATTACCTTTCACTCAAACTTGCCGAGTCTGAGTCTGACTGACTCAGTAAACACTTCACATGTTTAGAGCCAAATCTTTAAGAAAAATATTTTATTAGAAAATCTGAATTTTTTTGTGTACCAGAGACTTGTAATGTTTACTAAAACTTACCAACTTTTGTTAAACTACATGAAGTAAATCAATAAATCAATATTACAATGTATAGTTTCACAGAAACAGGTTGGTCCAAGAGACTGGTGCCAAGATTATAATGTTAATTTATAGACTTAATATTATATATATATGACTTTACTGCATG